GGGGGCGTGAAAAAAGTGAGGGAAAAACGTGGCGTTTTATGCGTCTTTTATAAGGCAATATATGGTGAGGCACGGGAAGAGGTTGAACGGGTTTTGTCTCAGGCCCACTGTGGTGAGCCCTTTTCTAGAGACGGTTTCTCCACCTTCACCAAGGGATCATCCACAGCTGAGAAAAGGAACAACACCGTCATTCCCCAGCAACTTCAAAAAAGCAACAACGGCAGCAGGGGTATTATTGCTGCTGATGGTAAGAGTAGTAGCGTAAAGAATGGAAGTGGTACAGCGAGAATAGGGGCGGTTTCCAATTTGGGTGCCAACTGCATGTACGCTGAAATTATGGGATTGATTTCCTCACAATTTCGACCTCATGTGGGTTACGATGGCGTCGTGGAGTGTCATTTAAGTCACATCACTGGGTTTACTGGTCGCTACGTTTGTTCTCCGGTCCAGGAGGGAAAGTTGGTGGGGCTGTTTGGTGTGCCACTACGTGCAACGATGTGGTTGCCCTTTCAAATTCTTGCTGTGCTGCTTTCGTGTGCGCGTCGACTTGTTCCTGATGAGAAGTTAGAAGCATTAATATTACGTAATGCCGCGTCTTGGCCGTCACTTTTTCTTGACACGGCGCAGAGCGAACGTCTCTTTTGCACAACTTTTTTACGGCGTTACTTGGGTCTTTGTATATTTGAGGAGAATGATTTGGATGAGCGGGCGGCGGTGCCAGGCACGTTATATCTTGTGGAACACACAAGACAAATTCGAGTCGATTGTTTTGAGGCGTCGTTGTCGCTTTTGCAGACGCCATTGCCGCCGAGCTTGACGACATTTTCAAAAATAATTGCATCCCACAAGGCTGCCACCATCTCGAGAGCGGAATCAACCATGTGGGGGATTGTGCTACAGCAACTTCCGCGGCTGGACGCAGTGCAGGCAGGAGATTTTGACAAGGCTTTTCTTCAGGCCGTTATGCGGTCTGCCAATGAAATTGCTTGCTAGAGACAATGACAACACGAGATGATGGGGATTATGTGGTGGAATTATTATTATTATTATTTGTCATTTGGATTTCTTATCTTTTTTCTGTATCTCTGTGTGGTTGTCTTTTTTTTTTTTTTTTTGCCGTTGTTTCCTGTACATTTGGTTGGATGGCCAGTGGTTGGGTTTTTTTTTGTTTGACTTTTTTTTTTTTTTTTTTATTCTGCAATTATCGGAACATTGTAATTATGCTGTTATTATTGTAATTAATAATAATTAATAATTATTTATTTCTTTTTTCTTTTGTGTGACTTTTCTTTTGCACATACGCATGTGTTCTGAAACCCTACATGCCAGTATGGGGGATGATTTTGATTGCAACTTGAGGACAATGGCAGCGAAGTTTACGACGGAGGAGTTGGAGGATTTGGCGCACGTGGACCTCGATGAGGCTTTGGTGGAGGCAAATATCTGCAATAATACGTTTGACGCGGAGTTAAGCCGTCGTGTGTCTCAAGAGTTGTGTGATGATTTTGTTCAGACGTTCCTTGGCGACGACGCGGTACCATCGTTGCACCTTCAGATGCAAGACTGTGATGAGTCTCTCGCTGGCATCGAACACATCCTTGAGCGGTTTATTGTCAATCTGGAGTCGATTCAGCACGACATTGGAGATGTGCGTGAACGGCTGAAGCGGATTGGGGTCAGCCTTACCCACGCGAGGAAGGCAGAGCAGGCGGTGTGGAATGTTGCGTCGCGTCTTATTGTGCCACCGGACGTGGTGCGCATTATTATTCACTCCAATGATGAGGAGCTCGGGCCGCAGTTCAAGCTGAGCATGCAGCAATTGCTGATGTTCCTGCGTTACCGTAAAGAGGGGAGCTGCCAAATTGAGTCCGGCGCAAAGACACTTATTTCCTTCGCCGCGTGTCGAATTTACGCCGAGCAACTGGAGATTCTTGACCGCCTTACCGTTCATGCCTGCGTGAAGACGAAGCGGTTTCTCTCAAAGAAATTGACTTATCTTAGCGTTAGGAACACCAATGTGTATGTTCAACAGGAGCACGTTTTAAAGCCTCACGCATTTTATGTGCACTTCCTTCGAGCCGCCGTCCCCCTTTTGCGGCATCCGCATCAAAATGGCGAGATGGACCCTGAATCTCCGGTACTTCTGCCATACCGCATTGCCAAGGCGCTGTATGATGAGCTGCGGGGCGAGTATACTGAAATTATGTCGCAGTTGTACCTTGACCGATTCCGACACTATGTGATGAGTCTAAATGCGATGGAGAAATCCACCCAAACCGTAAATGCCGGGGTTTCCCCCGTTGCGTATGTTCTTCCTTTGCTTATTGAGTCACAGGGGGTGACACCGTCAACCGTATTTGAATTGGGCGAGCGTGCCGCCATCCTGAACGAAGTGCTCAGCCCACCTTTGGTGCCTCTGTTGGAACGAGCTAAGCGGAGGCTACATTTTTACGAAGAGACGTTTCGCTCCTTAAATGTGCTTCTGTGCGACGCTGTGACACATGAGTTCCTTTTTACTTTTGCGTTTTTCTCCGGTGATATGTCCATCTTTGTTGACGTTTTTAAGCCCACCATTCAGTTCATTGTGGATTATGTGTCTGAAGTGATGCTTGGTCAAACGGGTGGCTCTGTTACCCGTGCAATGCGTGACCAGTTCCCACACACATCAGTCAATCCAAATTGTCGTTACGACTGTTACGGTTTGCTGCTGCTTATTCGTCTCTGTCATGACTTTCGTTCACTTATGAAGGATGTAAGGCGGCTCAGCTGTCTTGAAGGATTTTATGACTCCTTGTTGCTATTATTGTGGCCGGCATTTCAGCGGAACTATGAACGGCAGATGCTTTCTTTACGATCGGCTGATGTTATGAGTCTTTCGCGTGTTCTGTTGCGCCGTCAGGGTAGTACGGAATGTGAGTGGGTGAGGTGTATTCATCCATTGAGTCAGCAATACGCGGCGTTTGCCTTGTCGCTCGTGACGATTAGCTCGGGCTGTGGATTTGATGAGAAAACTGACGAAAGCAAGCTGTCACTCCGTTCGAACTCTGTGGATGAAGTGAATGGAAGTGCTGAGAGCATGAATAATGAGGATGAGATTAATTTTTCGGAGTTGCGACGTATTGCATGGCGTGCTATTGAAGCGGAACGCGTGTCTGATGCAGCGGACAGTGCATCCCGTTTTGCAGTGCTTACAGGGAATCTTAAATTCATGCGAGTGGAAGTTCTGCGCTTGCTGCGGGACGTGGGACAACAATTGGTTGAGAGAGGCTTGACGCACCCAGAGACTCGTGAGATGTACGTTCTTGCATTTTTGCTGAATAACATTCGCTGCATTATGTTTACATGGAGCGACTTTCTTTTGAGCAGCGGTTCGTCATCACTTGAAGAGGACTACCGAGCGCTTGAAGAAGTTGAGCGAACGCAGAGAAGTGGGTATGTGGATGCTCTTTTGCGGATGTATTTTCCATTCCTTTACCATGTCGTGCAGCAGGAGGAGACTGCGGAGAGGGATCCGGCAAAATTTTTGGATTCCGCGGATGCCTTCACACATAATTGGAAGCGTGAACTCGACGATGTTTGCGGTGCGGTGCGATCGATGGTTGCGGACTCCGGACACGAGGGTGAGCTGCTTGCAGAAGTCTGCATGGAGGTGTTGCTGCGCAACACACGTCTTCACGGGTGCGTGTCGCGGGTGTTTGCGGCGGCGTCGTCCTCTTTCTTGGATGCAGACGGTGCTAGCCGCCCAATGAGGTCTTTTATTGTGACAAACCAACAGATGCTGCAGCACATGCGAACACTTGCAACTATTCCAGAGGATCAGGAGGAAGTGATGCCAAGTGCGAAATTGGGAGGGGGAGAGAGATAGGTCTCCCGCGGCGTACCAGTTGTCGTATGCCGTTTGCCGCCACTCCCTTCCTCCCACATGTGCGTGGGAACAACTGACCGTCCTACGAGGACATGGCAACAACAAAAAATTGTATGAGATGCCGAGTAGTTGTTTATTCCTTTTAGTGTTATTTATTATTATTATTTATTATTATTATTAATTATTATTATATATATATTTTTGTATCCGTATTTCTTTACCCCTCTCTTTTTCTGTGACTTTTTTCCTATTGGGTTTTTCCTGTTCTCATGGATGTAATAATTTGTAGGAAGCTTTAAAAAACCGTCTCTACCTGCACTGTTGACTGGTGGAGGGCGGCGTGTTGTTTTGTTGGTATTTGAGCAAGCAGCCATAAATAAATCATACTGCTTTTAGCGGACTGCGACAGAAAAAAACGAAAAGGGAAGAAAGAAAGTAAACGGGCCTCATGGATTATTTGCGGCAGTGGCAGAAGCGGTGGGAGGATTTGCCGCAGCCGCGAAAAATCAAAGCCCTGCGGCTGGTTGCGTTTGGGTGTTATTTCTTCGCACTTTTATTTTTTGTTATTTATGCCTTTGGGGGAATTAGAACGCAGGTGAGGGACCCTGCGAGAGCGGTGTTGTTTATGGAACCCACGCCAGGTGCTCTCATGGCACTGCGACATCTTGCGAAGCGTTCGGATGTGTCGATTGCGATGATTGTGCTAACAGTAAACGCATGGAATTTTAACCTCAACGCCGCGTATGACAACACGGTTGTGTTCCTCGCCATGCTTAAGGAGGAATCCTCCTTAAAGTATCATATCCCCGTGTATTATGGAAGCAGTGTGGCGGAGGTGAACGCTGGGTATGATGATGAAATTGATTTTTCCATAGACGGCGGTAAAGCGTCAAATACGACCGCTTGCACATACCGTCGTGTGATTATGCCTAGCCTGATGTTGGAGGCGGATTCCGTGTTCGGTGCATCCGAGTTGCTGGACAGTGTGCCTCTGTCCACTCCAACCAGTAGTCATGGTAAGAGTGTTGGCATTAGCGGACAGTACGAATTCTTTGATTTTGCGCTGTCGAATTATTTGTCGAGTCAAACGGCGGCGTTTTTGGTGCTTGGACCGTTGACAGATGCAGCGGAGTTTCTGCAGCGGCATTCGGATCTTCGAGCCAAAGTGAATCGTATTTTTTTTGCTGGTGGTGCGATTAAGGCGGACGGCAACACGCGTCTGGTATATCCACCCAATCAGCGCTCTGAACAACACGCCTTTTTTGACCCGCTTGCGGCAAATTATATTGTGAGCGGTGCGCACGGACGACCAATGGAGCTGTTGCCACTAGACGCTCTTCCACAGTGGCCACAGGCATTGTATGACTCTCTTATAGGTTCCCGTGCTTACCCGTCCTCATCGTCCTCACTGGTGCCCACTTCTGCACAGGTAGTGGCACGCGCTTTCACTGGCTACAGCAAACGGTTTGGAATGGGGAAGCTGATGCCCGTTGAGATTTTGGCGGCATCGTACTTTGCCGATGTGGTGATACAAAGCGGAGCAATAGTTGCCGACATGGCATTGCTAGTTGCGAATGGATTTTCGATGTCTATGGATGGCCTCATTGGCGCACCCAGAGGCGGGCAGCCACAGGAACATAGTTTCAAAGTAAGGGTTGTTTTGCGTATTAAGGAAGAGACGTTTTGGTCTCGTTTAGAGGCTGTGGACAGGCTGAGTATTTAGCAGTATGGCACCGTTGTTTTTTCCCCCCTTTCTCAGCCTTCTTATTTTTGTCTTTATGGTGGCGCAAATTTTTACTTTTAGCCTATCGCTTCTAAATTTTGGTTGTCTTCATTCTTTTTCCACCGGGGTTTTATGAATTTTTCCCTGTAATCTCTCTCTCTCTGTATGTGTGTTTGCTCCTTCATTCCACTGCTGCCTTCTTTGTATTATTATTATTATTATTATTGCTGCCTCCCGGAAAGAAAAATAAATAGTGGTTATATAAATATAAACTTATCCAATAATATTTGTAACAAAGAGGGCGATATAAGCGATAAATCCCACGGTGGCTTGACTTCTGTTCATCATTTCACGCAACGGAAGGAATAAGAGAAGGCGAAGGAGGGGGGGAGGGAAACTTTTGACGAATTCATATTCATAGGAGCTAAATTTATTTATTTTGTTGCGTGCGTGCGTGTTGTTTGTTTTCAAGCAGACGCAGCAGCAGCAACAACTACGGCAGAAGGATAATAAAAACATTTTTTTTTTATTATTATTTTAAAAGAAAATCATAGATCACACATACATAAAATACTTCAAAAATGAATCTTAGCAGCAATGGCAACAACAGCCTGCGGACAATAGACATCAATTTGGAATTTTTTTCTAATGGAAAGGGGTTTTACCTGCCGCGACCACAACAGACTTTAGGAGGCAAAACAGAACAACAGATGGCACGGCAGGTGGCAAGCGGCAGGTCTGACACTTCCACTCAGCTGAATTATGATGAGGTGCGAAGGGGTTTGCAGAATGCGTTATCGCGCGTTGAGCTTCTTTGTGACAACAGCGCAGAGGGGCGTCGTCAGCTTCTTCAGCATGAGCTTTTACGCCTTTTCCTTTCTGCCTCTGAGGAGACTAGGGAAAGATTGGAGTTTGTTCTTAGTGATGCTCCATTGAGCTACCGCGTACTGGAGGTTTTGTACCTTCGACGCCGTGAACTCTGCACGGGTTTTGAGTATGCCTTGAGTGATTTTAAATGTTGGCTCTCGCTTGCAATGCTTTTGGACGAGCCAGATTTTATTCAGTTTATGATGCAGTATGCGCAGGAGTTGGGCCCATGCTCGAGACAGAGGCTGGAGGATGTCATGTTTGTTCATGAATCGAGCGCTAAATCGCTCTGTCATGCGGTGCTTGGCATACGTGCACCCGGAGACGGTGCAGTTCCATTTGATTTTCGTTACTATAACTTCATGCTGGACGACTTGATTGCGATGGGAGATGAGCCCCCGCATGCTTCACTGATCTCGTCGGTCCAACGTGAGGTGACGCTTTCGATGCGTGAGCTTCACGCGGAATGGCTGCTTCAAGTCACCATGGCGTTGAATTTGAAGTTGGAGACATTCTTCCTCGCTGTGGCTATTGTTGACCGTTATTTGGCAAAGGTTGCGGTAAAGCGTGAGCGACTTCACCTTGTGGGTTGTGCCGCATTACTGCTGGCATCGAAGCAGGAGGAGATTTTTCCGGCTTCACTTCACGCATTAGTCCGTTACGGTGCAGACCACTTTACAGTTGAGATGTTGGTCGCTACGGAGTGCCAACTGTTTGCCCAAGTTGGATTTGATGTGGTCTTGCCAACGCTCAGTGCGGTGGGTATGGGGATTCTTCTGCAGCAAGACACCGCTCCAATTGAGGCGCAGCGCAGTTGTCTTCTGTACGTGCTTGCTACTCTGGCTATTCGCACGCATTATCGACAGTACAAACTCTCTTCACTTGCCGCAGCCGCTGTTTACATGAGCCGTGTATGCTTCGATATCCCAACCGGACGACCGTGTGAGGAAGTGCTGTCGCTCCTACCGCTGATAAGGGCTGCATTGAGTCGCAATCCAGCCGTGGGATCCGGAGGCGTGCACGATATCTTTTCCAGAGGCGTCTACCACGAGGTGAGCAAGTTGAAACTGTCAGAGTTGATAGGAACTGAGGACTGCGAGGGCAATTAGGGAACTCTTATAGAACCACGGAGAGACGGAAGGGAGAAGAGACATTTCTTTTGCGGGGGATGGGCGAGAATTTTTTTGGAGGTGACGTGGATGTACAGGCGAGAGAGAAATTGTGTTTGTGTGTGTGTTTCTATTCTTACCAGTCGTAATAACTACACACACCTCCAATGTGCAGCTCTGGTAAGCGTACGAAGGAATTCAGCAGCAAGGAATAACCTTACCCCGCGGGCAGCCATTATAGAATGGCCTCATCTTTTGCCCTTCCGTCCCGTAAAACTAATTAGCAACTACTACCCATCGGATTTGAAGCATGGGCAGCAGGCACTTACTTATCTTCCTTTCTGGCAAGAGAGTACTAGACCCTGGCACCAAATTGAGGTGACCGGCTGCGCCAAGGAATTGTGTGTGTTTGTGTGTGTCATAGAATAGAAAGGTGTCGTTAAGGATGATCTGTTATATATATATATAAACATATACATATGTATGTTGTTTTATTATTACTATTTTTCTTATAAACTAGATACATATCACTGCGGTGCAGATGCACCACCCACCACCCACCGCTCCCGCTTTATATATAATATAATATATATATATATGTCCTGCTTTTTTTTTTTTTGGAGCCGACTGCAGATAAATATATGATTTTGTATAAAAATCCATGTATATAATTTTATATATTGGGTACATAGATGCTTGTTTTTTATTTTATTTTATTGTCTTTCCCCCCCCCCCCCCTCACTCATCCTACTTTTTTCTGCAATACCACCTGTTTTTTTTTTTTTTTTTATGATCATTTTTTTTTTTTTTGTTTTATGACTTTTTATTTGTTGTGCGTTTTGGAGCCATGGAGAGACGGGAAGTGGTACGATGCTTACAGAAATGTTTTTTTTTTTCTTTTCGTTTTGATTTCTTAATGCTGATATTATGCATGCATGCATGTACGTGTACGTGTATATTCCCCCCTTCCCCATACTTGCCTTCCGCAGGTGTATTTAAGGACATGAATTGAAGTGCAGAAAAAAAAAAACAAAAAAACATGTTGATGCTATTCCACATTGCCATTTACATTATTGCGTATACGCATCGTGATGCATGGGTTTAATAATTATTTATTTATTATTTATTATTATTTATTTGTTTATTTATTATTATTTATTTTTATTTTTGTGTGTGTTGTATGACAGAAGCAGCGATAGCAGCAACCGTTCAAAGGGCAAAGTGTTGCGTGGCGCTATACCAAAGTCAACGGTGCGCCTTTTCTTTTATTTTTATGGATATTCTTTTAACTCTGTTGTTTTTATACAGATATGTATACACACGTGCACGTGTATATATGCAGTTAGAGAGAGAGAGAGAGAGCTTAAAAAAAAAAAAAAAGAAAAAAAAAAAAAAAAACGTGTTTACTTTCTTTTCCCGTTGCGGCCATTTATTTTCAGTGTTTTATTTATTTATATGCATGCTTCCTTGCACTCACTGCCTGTTAACTCCATTGATCGAGTATATGGTGGGTTTCTTCTCTTTTTCGTGTGTCTGGTAGTTTATTTTGTTAAAAATCCAAGGCTACATCATAAATTGTCAGCACAGAAGAAGCCTTGGAGCTGTTAAGAGGGTTTTATCGTATACGAACATAAATAAATATATCGGTGTACATTTTGGGTCGTCGCGTCTTTTTTTTTCTTTTTCTTCTTAACATTAACCGAATTGACATGTCGGGGGCCGTAGTGATTGATGGCAAAGCGATTGCCGAGACGATACGGGCGGAGATGAAGTCAGAGGTGGAACAACTGTGGGCGAAGTATGGCAGGCGGCCAGGGATTTCGGCTATCATTTGCGGCGAGCGAAAGGATTCTCAGACTTACGTGCGGCTGAAGAAAAAGGCGGCGGAGGAGTGCGGGTTTGTAACCTTCAATGTTGAGCTTCCTGCGGACGTGACGCAGGAGGAACTTCAAGCAGAGGTTGAAAAACTTGATCAAAATGCGGACTGCCACGGCATCATTGTGCAGCTGCCTCTGCCAGACCATATTGATCAGGACGCCGTGCTGAAGAAAATATCCCCAGAGAAGGATTCCGATGCGTTGCTTCCCGTTAATGTGGGGCTGCTGCACACCAAAGGGTGCGAGCCTCTCTTCGTGCCATGCACCCCTGCTGGTGTGATTGAGCTACTGAAGCGAAGTGGTGTCACGATGGCAGGGAAACGCGCTGTGGTTCTTGGACGCAGCAACATTGTGGGTGCCCCAGTCGCCGCATTACTAACAGCACATAATGCAACTGTTACCGTCGTCCACTCCGCCACGCCGCTTGCGGATTTGATTGATGTTGTCCGGTCGTCCCATATAGTTGTAGCAGCCATGGGGAAGCCAGGGTTTGTGCGGGGTGAATGGATTAGGGAAGGCGCTGCAGTCATTGATGTGGGCACAACTCCTGTGGACGACTCTTCCAAAAAGGCGGGATATCGAATTGCCGGCGATGTGTGCTTTGAGGAGGCGCAAAAGCGTGCTGGCTGGATTACCCCAGTGCCTGGTGGTGTTGGTCCAATGACGATCGCAATGCTGCTAAAGAACACTCTTGCAGGCTTCAAGAGGAGTCTTAGTCAAACCTGAGGGATGAGTGAAAGAAATCTCAGCTAAAGTGGGCTATGTACAAGACTTTACTTTATCATTATTATTATTTTTTTTTTTCAAGAACAAAGACGGAGGGCGGCCCTTTATTTGTTGGAGTTTCTATTTCTCTCCGTGAACCATTTCGGCAAAGGAACGAATTATGCGGGGTTATCTGCAAAATGGAACCACGCATAGTCGCATCTCCTGTCGATGGTATATTGAATGTGTCCCTGTGTTTGTCTATGTGATGAGGCAATGCAATTTGAAAAAAAAAAAAAAAATAATAATAATAATGATAACTAGTAGAGTTTTTTTTGGGGGGGCTGCGACCGTAGACAATGGAGGATATATATATTTTTTCTTTTGTGGGGTGTTTCAATTAAAGTAGTGTGTCTATTTTTGTTTATTTATTACACGTATGGCTGTGTGCGTTCCTATTGAATGGCTGGTGGTTTGATGGGTAAACAAGAAGGAAGTAGGGAAATAAACATATATATATATATATATATTGTCATCTCTAGAACTTTTTCTGAAGGAAGATGTGTCCGCATCTTTTTATATGCATGCGACGATGAGTTTTCTTATTTGCTCTGTTATTCATGTCACTTTTGCTGCTTTACTTTTTTTTTTTTTTTTTTTGTGTGTGTGTGCAGTCTCTCTGTGTACGGGGGTAATTCATTTTTTTGTGTCGGTAATAATTTACTGTTGGGTGCCAACAACAATGCCTGTGATGCCTGCGACTTTAGGGACTCGCGGAGGTGGCGAACAGACGGCAAAACCGAGCAGCTTTGAGCGAATGGCGGCCATTCAGGAGGAAATTGCAAAAATCGAAACTCGTTTGCGTTCCCTGCAGTCAACCGAGGATGCCGATGACACGCCATGGACCTCAGCACCGCAGGAGGACATGGATCCTGCCGTCGCAAAGATGCTCTCAGTTGAGCTTTGCCACTTGGCTGCATCTGGCGACAGCGTGGGTGTGCGTCTACTTCTTGAGAGCGGCGCGGACACGGACTGCAGGGATTACGACGAACAGACCCCACTCCACATAGCCAGCGCTCTGGGTCATGTCCAGGTGGTTAGATTACTTCTTGAGTTTGGGGCTGACCCGACGCTTTTGGACAAGGATGACAAGACGCCTTTTAGGCTGGCGGGGGAGAATAATCGCAGGGAAGTTGTGCAGCTTCTACTGAGACACTCTCAGGCACATGGTCATGAACTGGACGCTTGTGGCAAGCCGGATAGTTTTTTGCTTGATAGCCCCATCATGTCTGCGCATCCGGACTTTTCACAGATTCCCCAACCAATGATGGGAAGTCTTATTGTCATCATGGTAGGTCTCCCTGGTAGGGGGAAGACATACATCGCGAGGCAGATTCAGCGTTACTTCAAGTGGAATGGGCTACAAAGCAGGATTTTTATACGCTCTACATACAAAGGGAAACTTGAAGAAGGTGGCGCCGTATCTACGGCTTTGAGTGCGGCGGAGGTGGAGCGTCGTATTGCCGCTGCCATTGCAAAAGACATGACACAATTTATAGCCGAAACCGACGGCGTGGCGGTGCTGAATGGCACGAACTGCAGTCCGTTGCGTCGCATGGCATTGATGAGCGCGATTCGAGAAACGGGCCTCATACGGCCGAACCGTGTGATATTCGTGGAGGTTGTGAACAACAATTCGGAGATTGTGCGCCTAAACGTGAACCGCAAGAAGGAAATAAATCCTGGGGCCACACAAAGCTTTGTCGATCAGTATTATGCACGGATTGAACGTCTGAATGCTCTATACAAATCCCTGAGTCCCACCACCGACAGGGATCTCACGTATATTCTTATTGAGGACCAGACAACATTTGCACTAAATAACATCTCTGGATGGATGCCTTCACGACTGTCGTACATGCTACATAACTTAAACCACGCACCTAGCAATCTTTACCTCACGCGTGCTGGGGAATATGTTGACTTGATTGCCGGTCGTATAGGCGGAAATTCGCGACTGACAGAGCGTGGACAGGCGTATAGTGAGGCGCTTTTTGAGTATTTTCAAGGGGAATTACAAATGAAATCGTTTACAGTGATGAGTAGTTGTGCCCTTCGATGTATAGAAACAGTGCAATACTTTGAGGAGCAGAGTGTACTTCAACGCAGCAGCGCCTCTGCTGCGCAAAGTAGGGAACCGAAACTGAACTGTCGCGTGGCGTACTTTCCCACACTTGACAGTCTGAACCATGGTGACTGTGATGGACAGTTACTTTCTGATGTTCGCAAGGCAATGCCAAGTACATTGCTTCATATGCAGGCAGATCCATACCACACAGCGTGGCCAAATGGAGAATGTGTCCATCAGCTCTACAATGCACGACTTGAGCCTCATATTCATGACATTCAGGCGAGCACCGAGCCTGTTCTTGTGGTCTCACACCTTCAGCTGCTGCAGGGTCTTTATTCCTACTTTGTTTCCGAGAATGATGACTTTGTGGCTCCACAAGATGCATACAAGATTGATATTCCTTTTGAGAGTGTCATTAAAATTCGCCTGGTGGGCTTTAACCGCGTCGCGGAGACCATCGATCTCTCAAAGGAGGTGGACCGAATCCAACACCGTCGCACCGGGAAGGTGACGAAGGCAACGCAGCAAAGTAGCCTGAATATTTTTTGTAGGTCTGGTAAGAAGTGATGGAGGATGCGGTGATGAGAAGGGAATAACATTTGCCACAGCAGATCAACCGATAAAATGTGTGTGTATATGTCTCTGCCTGCCTCTCTGTTTCCGTTTTTTTTTTTTTTTGTGTGTAAGTGTAATTATGTGTTTTTTGAGACAACAAAATGGGGTTACAACAGCAAGAACAAACAGGAACGGGAAGGAGGAGGAGGTGTCTAGAGTTGTCTCGGCTCTGAATGCGAAGGAAGCGTACGCTGTGAATACACCGCTTTTGGTCAACTGTGGTTTGTGTCACCCGTAATCGCACGTGAAATGTGCATGGGCTTTTGTGTTTTTTCCTCCTTCTTGGTTTTTCGTTGACTTTGTTTTTTGTTTTTGTTTCTTCAAGTCTTTCTGTTGGATTGTGGTTGGTAGTTCAGCTGTCTGCAAGGCCATTGAATGTCGCTCAAGGCGAAGATTGATGTGTTCCCGTTTGGGGCATACCTGCTGCAAGATCCTTCCCTGATGAGAGTCATGCAGGCGGTGGTGCGGGGCACCAATAATACTAATAGTAGCGGTAATATGAATGAAAACAGCGGTGGTGGCGGTGGCGCCGCGAATAAACGCCGTGACGCTGGCGGCAATGCCTCTCAATCCGTGGAACGGCGACTAAAGACGCCACTTGAAAAACTCATGAGCCTCAAGGCGCGCTGTCGCGAGGAGCAGTGCGTGCACTCGGTTGAGGGTGTTCTTCTTGTGCATGTCCACGACCACCCGCATGTTCTTTTGCTGCGGCACGCGAACACAAAGGCGTCAGCGCATTCACGCGTGCTGCCGGCGACAAACACAAATAACTTGGCGGTATTTTTTTTGCCTGGTGGCCGCTGCAGGAAAGGCGAGCCGGAGGAGATATGCCTGCTGCGAAAACTTGGCAGGGACCTGTTGAATGAGAAAAAGAGTTTGATGGCGTCACGGACGGCGGAGAACGAGTCGTCCGAGACGGTGGTTGAGGTGGGTGCATCGCACAATTTGGCGGTAGCGCCGTCATCATCGTCCTTTCGGGTCGGTGAGGCACTTGGGCGGTGGTACAGGCCACACTTTGATCCTTTTATGTATCCGTATGTCCCGGCACATGTGGCGGAGAGCGATGTGAAGGAGGTGCGCACCGTTTTTCTCGTGCACCTTCCACCGCAGATGCTGCTGACTGTGGCGCAGCGTGACGTGGAACTGGTTGCCGCGCCGCTGTTTGATTTGTATGAGAACTCCGCGAAGTACGGCCCGCTTATAGCCTCCATTCCGACACTTTTATCACGTGTAAACATAAATTATTGCAAGTAAACGAGAGAAAAGGAAAAGGGGAAAAAAAAACAAGAAGAAAGGGGAAAACGAGAAGCGCTTGATGAATGATTTTTGTTACCGTGATTTTGACTTCTGTAAACGAATACACGCAAAATCTCTCACACTCTGTTTTTTTTTTTTTTTTCTTCCGAGAATTCATTTTGTTTTTCTTCTTGTTTCCTTTGATTCTTCTGCTGTTAAGCTCGCAGAGTAATTAAACGAGTTTTCCGCATTCTGTCAAGAAACAAGAAGAAGAACTGGATCCAAGCCGTTTTATCGAACACACACAAACAGACAGACAGACAGACCGACCGGCAGACATACATACGTACAGAAGAGAATTAGTTGTGGAACACCAATGGGACAGAAACAATCTTTGAATGCTTCATTGCACCGTTACATTTATAATCATGACACCGATGGCCTGATGGGATTTCTTGACGCACACGAGGCTGAGCTCAACAACGCCTGCATGGATGAAAACATTTACGTTGAACTTGTGCAACGACAGTGGGATACCGCGACGATTTACCGTTTTGCCAAGTTTGCAAACGACCAGCAGCTGGCTGTTCTCATAGCAACCGCTGTGCTTTGCAGCCATTTGATACCAATTGTTCCTATTTTTGAATTAATGCAGGATTGCAAGCGCACCATTGAGCAATATCATCTGAAGCATCTCTTCTTAATTGCCTGTGAGCGGGAGAACGTGGACGCCGTGCGTGCCTTTATTGCAAATAAATGCTACGACCCGGCAGATCGACGTCCTGTTCGTGCCGTTTTACGAGCGCAACTGAATAAATCGGTGGTAAATGAGGAACTGGTGAAAATGGTTTTGGCGGCACATCCGCTGCAGACAGACAACGTTGAATACATTCGCAACAAGTGCCTTAGCACAGCAAAAAATGAGGGAGTTCGCAAGATGGTAGATGACCTTCTTGTTGAATATGTTTCGTGAAAATATCTTTGAGAAGAGGACAAATGAGGGGGTGGTGCTTGCGGCGTCTCAAAGCACATGCATTTTGCGGGAATACAACTTTTTTATCATCTAAAAAAAAAAAAGAAAAAAATCAATGAAAAAAAAAAAAAAAACATGTTTTTTTTGCAGAATTTTTTTTCAAATTATTTGTTGAAAGTGTAATTGCAGGTCGTTTTTTTTTACTATGCGGCTATAAATTTTCTTTTCTTTTCTTATCTTATCTTTCTCCCCGTATAAATATACAACATAAAAAGGAGGGAGGGGAGTGGGCCGCAACGGATGAGGCGATTTTGCATTGTGAATGCCTTGCGTAGCAGTGGCGTAGTGTTTCTTACCACAGCCACGCCACCGAGCACCAACAGTACTGCCGCTGCAAATAATGCAATGAAAAGTTCTCAGTTTGCATTGCCTTTGAATAGACAAATCCGACATGGCCTTAGCTCGGACTGGCGCGAACAGGTGCGGCGTTCGGGCGGCGTTCTAAATGACATCTCGCCCGCTCTACCGGACAGTAATCGCACCGACGATCAGCGAAAGCGTGTCGCGGGTTGGCAACCGGTAGTGAAGCTCCTGGGCGACCAGCGGCTTCGAGTGGCAATTGTTGGCCGCATGAACAGCGGCAAGTCGTCCCTTTTTAATTTACTGAGCGAAGATCCGACGATGCCAAATCGGAAAAACATTGTCCGTGACTTTGACGGCATCACGCGTGACTCGGTGGAGGGCCATGCCCAACTGGAGGGAATGCACTTCACCATCATTGACACGCCGGGTATGGTGAACGGAAAACTGGTGGAGGAGGCATTTCGTACCGTGGAGACGGCGGATGCTGCCATTTTTGTTACATCCGTTGACGAGGATTTGCATTCAGCTGAGTTTGATCTCATTCATTACCTGCAACTCAAATGTATGCCAACATTTGTGTTGGTGAACAAGATGGATCTCGTTCCGTTAGACGAAGAGGACCGAGTTCTTGAGCGATACAATGGACTCGGACTAGGCAATGCCATTCCATTCTCCGCACGACGCAAATCGGGGATGGAAATGCTTGCAGCCGTGTTGGAGCCATTGTACCACATCCACTCTATGCAAAAGGTGGAAAATGACTGGGACATTGAAGACCTTGCCATGCAGGGGGATGAGTCCGCCATGGAGGAGATACGTGACCGCAACTGCGCAGATCGCTTTATTCGTATAGCGTTGGTAGGGAGAACGAATAGTGGCAAATCAAGTTTAATCAATCGTTTAGTGGGCTTTGAGCGCAGCCGTGCTGTCGATGAGAAAAATTCCACACGTGATCCGGTAGAGCTATCATGTATCTATAAGGGACGTAAAGTGAAACTCATTGATACTGCTGGTCTGACAAGACATCGATTCCGTGCCGACCGTGATTTTATTGGCCGTATTCATGACCTTTCAGTAAATGAGATTCGCTACGCTCATGTGGTGATTGTTGTTTTTGATGCCACAGAGGGCCACCCGAACAAGTATGATATGGCTGTGTTACATTCTGTTGCCGCAGAGGGTCGACCTTTTTTACTGTGTGCCAACAAGTGGGATGCGGTTCTGGATCAGAGTGCAACCGCAGAGGCTATTGACTTTAAAATCAAGCGACAGGTACGAGAGGTAAAATATAGCAACGCTGTCGTTGTCTCTGCTCACACAGGACTGAATCTCACTCTACTTATGGACCAGGCATTATTACTTTATGATACATGGAACAAACGTGTGCGCCGTGCGGAGCTGACACGTCTCTGGCGCAAGATGGAGAAGTCTGTTATCATTCCATACCACGTTGCCCGTGTAGGACGCATCACGCAGGTAAATACACGTCCACCGACCTTCTTGCTTCATTTGCAGACGAAGAATGATGAAAACACATTGCCAAAGGCACTTCAGGAAATGATGAAAAATACAATTGTGGAGGAGTTTGACTTTCGTGGGGTTCCCATCCGTCTTATTCAGGAAGTAAAGGACTCTAACCCCGACTACATTTAAGTTTAGCGATGCAATGCAGTGAATTGTCTGTGTGTGTGTATCTGTGTGTGCTTTGTTACTGATCGTATAATTGTGGTATTTTTTGTTTTGTTTTGGTTCTTGCAGCTGTTATGGACGGCGGTGTTTTTTTAATTAAAGCCATCTGAATGTCTTGTATTCTCTTTTCTCCTTTTTTTTTTTTTTTGGAGGGTAAAGGAAACGACACGCTGGACGGAAGTCAAAAATAAAATAAAACAAAAACAGAAGGATACGTGGACGTTCAATAAATGCGCAAAAGAAAGCGCACACGCTCGCTCTCGAGCACGGAAGACGCAGACAACACCGCCAACAATGGTAACAAAAAAGTGGTGGAAAATGAGGCGCGTGACGTTTCCAGCATTGAGAGTGAGGCGTCGTGTGAACCAACACGGCCTTTGGGTGTATTCATTTGGAGTGACGTGAGCGTGGTGTTATATACCTGTATGCTAAAACATTTGCATTACACGTGCGGCGTTCTTGCTATAGAGCGGTTAAGGGATGTGCGCCAAAATATGATTTATGCATTGAAATCACGTCTAGTATCCTTTTGGGAGGCTGAGACAGCAACGCTGAGCGCCATAGAGCAGGAGAAGCTTGGTAGGGTTTTTCATTCTCACGTCAATGCCATGTTGGAGCGTTTCTCATCATTGGTTGCTGCAGACATGACAGGACGTGACCTTTGTCATGCGTTTTTACAGGTACTTGACGTGTTTGGGTTCCCTGAAGAGGAGAGTGCCGAGGAGTCGTTACTAGTTGCGAATATGCGGAAGAACGCCGATCCTCACGCGTATTCGTACCAGGAGCGAACATCACATAAACTAAGCGTTTTGCCACGTTACGAAGGGGATCGTCGAACCGAGGAGCAACATCGCTTGCCGCGTTTGGGAAGTGTCGTGCAGCTTCCCTCTCCTCACCCACATTCAGAGATCAACACGGATGTTCAGTTGATTGAACCAAGGAAGCGTCGTCCTCCACTCGACGAAAATCGCATCTTTTCTCATCCAAAGAAGGCGACTTCCTCCGGAATGGAGGACGTCCTCGTCGACGAGGAGCTGCGCTACCGCTCCCTTGTGGTACTTGGGCGCCATCTTGATACCTTTGGGTCACTGCAAAATTTGTCACCCTTTGTCCGGTTCTCGTTGTGGGACATTCTTGGGCGGGACGATGAGATGTTTGAGCGCCTAACCACTTCCCCCGCGCGGAATGACGAGTTGTTGGAATGGCAGAAGAAACAATTGGAGTCTTTGCGTCGTCTTGTGGCGGAAAAACGGGCTGTTTTTGATGCTACCCGTGCTGAAGTCCGTGAGACCGCACTAAGTGTGGGATGGTGCGCCGTAAGCGCTCACTGGCGGGATCAGGTTCTGCGCGTGGTGGATGTGGGTGAGGATGCGGACTGGTTTCTTCTTCGTGACAGCGCAAAAAACGGTTTCAAGGCTATTTTTCCGAACTATGCACTTTTTACAGTTATTAAAGATATTGCACTTAAGGCGCTACGACGTGTGCGTGATGGTCATGTCGATTGTGGCGTCGAGGATGCCGTAGAGTGCTACGAGGTGGTTACACACGTATTGTTTCCACTTCTTGAGGGGAAGGCGCCTTCATTGCCTGGATTGGAGGCCATGATTGAACAAAATAATTCGAGTGACGGTGAAAATGGCAGTGGCGGTGAGCGGCAGTCACAGCAAAAGGAAGATGAGGAGGAAGCGTTGAGGAACTGTGTGTCGGCACTGATGTTAGAAAAGACAGGAAATGCGTGTGGTGACGCCGATGTTGCGCGTGGGGTGCGACTGTGCTTTGACTGTGGATCGTTTCTCCCACGAGAGGGTTCGACGTGTGCCTTTGTAAGCAACATGTTTGTATGGCCATTGCAGTGTCTGGCTGCTCTTTTGGAGCTAATATCTGTGGCGCGCTACTCGGTGGATGGAATGAAGAAATTTGCTGCTGCCTTCCTCCCGTCCAACTGGGGCGATCAGGAGTCGTTGTTGGAGTTTCTCCTGCGACGCGAGCCTACGAATATCCCTCTTGCATCTCTCGTTGGGTTTCCACGCCTTGTGCGAGATGTTTTTGTTTCTGCTCAATGGTTGCGGAATGACAAGTACTTTCGGGCTGTGGTGGAGTGCCGTCGGCAGGGCTGCGCGTTGCCGCCCGGAGGAGTGGCCAACAACTACCTCCAGTGGCGAGCCCTGTTAACAATCCTTAGTCGGCTGGAGTACGGCGAGGAGGTGTTTGCACTCACAGTTCATGAGATGCCACCGGATGCTGCGAATGAAGGGAAGATGTGGAGCGTCGCGGAACTCGAATGCACACCCAAGGCGTGGGCTGGAGGACTCGCGCTTATGATGACCACAGCCGCAGTTTCTGAGGAAAACTGAACATGAGCCCAACAAAAACAAAGAAAACATTTCTATGCGTCGATAGAAAATCAAAAAAAAAAAAAAAAAAGGAACATATTTATTTTTGTTCTTTATTTCTTTTTGGTTGTTGTTCTCTTTTAGTTTTTTTTTTTTTTTTTTTCTCCCCCCCTTTGCAAAAAACACATTGTACTTTCATTTATTTATCTGTTTTATTTATTTGATTCTTTTGTTTAAACCAAAAAAAAAAAAAAAAAAATAAAAAAAACTTTTTTGTTGTTGTTGTTGTTGTTGGTGGTGGGGAGGCGTATTTATACAATTTTACATCCTCAGGTACTCACATGTTGTCGCTGTCTCGTCTTGAAGAGGTGGCCGGAAAGGCAGAGAAGCTACGATGTCTTTTGCGCAGTGCATTTTTTGACGACGCCCCGAGGATTGAAGCGGCCATCTTTGAGCAGCTTTTACAGCTGTTGGAGCACTGGTTCCCCGCCACATCTTCTTCTAATACAACTCCCGTACCTCAATTGGATGGTGATAATGATAATGATGCACGCCTTCTCATTGAACAATACTATCTTCAGGAGGTGTTTGCGGCCTTGCTGTTTCTTTCGGATGAGTCCTTTTTTTTGAACCGTGCGGTGTCTGTCGTACTTCTTCCGCGTCTTGAGAAATGTAATGTTCTCAAATCTGAGTTCTACGTGGATCTGCATGTGCGGCGGTTCTGCACAGAGCTGTTGCTTTATTTTTGTTTTTCTCAGGTATGCCGGACACCTCGTATCGTCCAGGCGCTTTATCCTCTTCTTCTTCAAGGCAATCATGCGTTGGTAAATGGTGCATCGCAGAACCAAGTCGGGGAGGGTCTTTTTAATACACCTCGATTTCTTCAAAAGAAGACCCTTGTCTCCAGCCTTCTCAACGGTGTCATGCTGACGCTTCATGATGGCGTCGTGGGGGTGGTTCGTGTGCTGTTACTTAATGACCGCGTGGAGGACGGCATGACGGTGGATGCTGCTCGACACATCGCATCCCTTTTTTCTACTCCACTTCGGCGTGCGTGGCTTTTAAAAGAAGGCAGCGTTACATACACGGAATGTCTAGGATTGGATGAGCAGGCGCTTCTGCTCTCTGTACAACTGGTTGACCTCATGGCGTGTGATACCGAGACTTCCTTGACTCCAGATGAGGAGCGAGTGCAAATTCGTTCATCCCACTTTTTGCAGCAGCAGAAGATTAATCAAGAAAAACGTTTTTTAAAGCGTGAAACAATTCAGGAAAGACTGCATTTGGGGATTGCCACCATTTTTAACGCCACGTTGCATTTAATGCCTCGGAGCGAGGACAAATCGCTTTTTGCCCGCAGCTACAAATGCTTCTGCCTTTACAATAGGTACCTTCTCACACCCGCATTTTGCGTCCTCACCTTACGCGTGGCTGCTAAAGCTGATACAGATGAGATTTTATTTGCACTACGCCGTCTCTCAGTGCTTGCGCGGGGTTCCACGCTCGGTCCATCACCAAGGGCATTGTTGCTCACTCTGGAACCACTTTCGCCTGGAATACTGGAGTTGCTTGCGCTTGCGGATACCCTTCCAGTGCAACACTGTGCGCTTCTTCAAAAAGTGTTAGGGACTTTATGGGAATTATCGGCGCAGTTTGAAACACTGGCGCATATCTTTGTGCGAGGTGCATTTATGCCTGTTCGTGGGTCTTACTCGGTGGACCGAGTCCAGGCGAAGGTGATTGTGGATCCCGAACATGCCTCTTCAAGTGTCATGCGCATACGTGGTTTGCAGCGTCTTTTATTGCACGACAGTATTCCAAAGGATGCCATATGTAAGTTACTAATGGCGGCGGCAACGATGTGCCAACAGCGTGCTGCAATGGCAACTGCTGCTCACGTAGAAGAAAAGAGATGCTTAAAATCGGCTGCATTTCTGTTTGCAGAGAATGAATTGGAGATGAATTCAGATAACGATAATGAAGATATTATGTTGGCACATATGGTAGAAGAAATGTGCCTTACTCTGACTTCGGATGAATTGTTTGGGACGTGTGTTACCCTTGATCGTATATGTGAAGTCCTGTCCACGGTAGTGACAATATCATACGCATGCTGGCATTGGGCAATGCTATTGATTCCCCGTATTCTTTCCGTTAATGTCATTCGCACTGTCTTTGCACAATATACGACAAATATAGAAAGGCAGAAGGCAGCACGCTTGTTTATTTCTCAGGCGCAGAGGCTCTTATCTTTGGTGAATGCCTTACATGATGCAGTTGTTAATACCGAAGCCACAACGACGCTGGAGAACTGTATTGCTGCAGTACAGCAATACGACTCCGATGCGGATGTGGACGATGCTACATTTGTTGAATGTCGAGGCATCGTGCGGCTGCTTGAGGAAAGCCTTGACATGAAGTCAACGGCATCGCTTGTGGTCCATCTCCTGGCACTCGCACGTATTGCAGAGCAGGCTGCTTCTTGTCTCCACCGAAAGCTTTTGACAGCTGATAAGAAGAAACTGAATGGAAATCCATTCAGCGACTCTGTGGAGGGCAGGGGTGTTGTGCAAACCGCTTTGTGGCTGCTTTTTAGAGTGCTTATTGAGGTGGATGACGCGTGTGCGGCTGTGGCTGCGTGCAAAACGGTTGTGTGGTGGTCTCTTGCGCGTTTGGACTCCGTAGATTCTTCATTTGTGGCACGCCTTGTGGTGGGTCTCCTTGGCGTGGAGGAGAACAGCCCAATGGAACTGTGCTCAGTCCTTCCAGGTGTTAAGAATGCCGTGACGCCGCCGCAAATCGGCCGTATGAAGGTGCGGTTACTTGATATCCTTTTGGGTCTGTGCGATTACGACGAGGAGGGACGCACACTGAGAAACATTGACGATTATTGCAAACTGGAGAGAAAGTGCACTCTTTACGATATTCTTGTCGAGTTGTGTGGGCCTCAGCACGGTCCCGTCGTGCAGGTTGCCGCCCTGCATCTCATTGGCCATTACGCGATTGCCACATATCCTCGTGTGTCACTTGCCGCAACGTGCGCTCTCTGCGTTGATGTCTTTCGACACGCACCGCATGAGATGGCAAAGGCTGCGTGTGCCTCGATGTTGTCAAATGTAGCAGGAACTCTTGAAACGATGGGCATTCTGGCGGCCCTCAGCGACGTTGATGTTGAACTTTTGCAGAGAATGGCAGAAGCCATGTGTAGTTATCGCGGTGCCGCAGGGGCTGACGATGATCACGAGGCTGTGATTCACCACCACGGGCGCTGCATCCGGAAAGTTTTGCAGCATTTGTTTTATGGATTGCGGGAGGCGTGAGATTTATCATAGTGCGTTTACTCATAATTACAAACTGCAGATGAAACCGAAGGAGGAGGAAGTGGGTGCCAGCCACATTTCTTTTTCTTTTTAATTCTTTTTGTTGTCGTTGTTATTTTGCTGAAGGTTCTGGCGTTTGCGTTTTGCAGCCGGCTGTCACAAGAACGATACGGACACGCATAAACACAAGGGAAAGGATAGAGAGAGAGAGAGAGGGCAGATGAGAAGGAATAAGAGAACAGAAAAAAAGAGCATGTGAAAGGCGGCATTCGAACATTATGGAAGACGAAATTTTTACTTTTTTTTTTGTTGTTTTCGTTTTGTCTTATTTGTTTTCTCTTTCAGTCTTTTTCACGCATACATTGCACTCTCTTTCAGCTGCGTCGGTGTGTGCGTGTTTGTGCGTGTGTTCGTTAGATTAGGGTTTAGGGTGGGACTAAAATAGGGGCAGACCAGGGTTAGGGAAGTGCACAAAATTGCGTGCACACAAACAAACAAGTATCTGCATCACAGAAGTTTCATTTGCGCCGAATCATAAAGAGGGAGCTGTTAACACAATTGTAGTAGGAATAAGGATCCGAAGGCATTTATAGGAGAGAGGGGAGGCGATGAGCGCACAGACGTCTTCGCAGCCGCACCCACTGAAGGATCGCTGGTTCGTCACGTATTTTCCATTTGTCCGACAAAAGAAGAAGGGAAAGGACTTTGATGAGCAGCAAAAGCCAAAGGAACTGGACTGGGTGACGACAGCCGAGGAATTGTACGCCACCATCAATTCCTTCCCTTCGCTTGTGTTGCTGCCGTCAGATGACAACTTGGTCTTTGCCCGCAACAAGGTAGAACCATACTTTGAGAACTTTCCTGAAGGCGATCGTGTCTGTGTCTTTACGCGGACAAAGGCGCAGAGTGAACAGGCTGTGGTGTTGGTGCTCGCAGCTGTCATGGGGGAACACTTGCGAAGTGTAACGGAATCTGAATGTGTCGCCGATGTTGTGCGCATTGCACATAAACCTGGCAATGTGTATCCGGAGTCATTGCGGGTAGAGGTGTGGCTGCACAAGAGTGATTTCTGCGAAAAGGTGGTGCAGTACTTTGTCGACCTATTCAAGACTTACCCCGGCATCAGAGTCGCTCGTCGTCCCATCAGCAGTGAAGTTACTGCCGATTGATTCTCGCACCGATTTTTTTTTTGTTTTTCTTGACTCCGTGTATGCGTGTGCGTTTGCGCATGTACATATATATGGCGAGCTAATTTAGTGGGAGACAGGCGGCAATAGAAGCGATACAACGAAGAGGGGAAATTGTCTAGGAGCATATATACAAAAAGCATGATATTTAGCTTTAAAAAAAAAAAAAAAGGCGAAACGGAAGAATTATTAAGGCGACACGACGGTCAGGAATTGTGGTGGGTTGTAGAAGAAACAGGAGGACGTCAATTCTAGTTGCTGGTGTGGTAAAGATGCGTGTCTATTATTTAAATTTATTTATTTATTATTAATTTTTTTTTTGTGTGTGTAACTTTGCCCTAACACCTGAGAGAGGCCTCTGGAGCAGGTAAATTTGGCAACCAGGAAGAGGGGAGAGCCAAAGAGAAGGAAAGAAATAACCTAAAAATAGAGGGTTGCGTGGGGTGTTGCTGGAATACACCGCAACGTCATTTGCCACCGCCCTATTTGAAGCTGTTTCTATTATTTCTGTACGTGACCACACCACCACAATGGATGTGTCCTTCCCTCGGATTGCGGAGCGCATGACTGTAAATAAATGAAAGTGGGGACTGTGTGACACAAAAGACTGCTTGACACCATCATTCTTTCTTTTTCTTTTTTTTTGTTATTGTTGTTGTTGTCGTTTTATTTGGGTTGTTTCTCTCTTTTTGTCTGTAGATAAAACCGTAGCTCTCCCTGCTACATGTCCAGTGACGATGGGGTTATGAGGGTGGACGAGTACTTTCCCATCACGGAGCGTTCATTCAGCGTCATTATCCGCCAGTACGAGATTGAAGCGGCTGCTGCTCGTGCAGATGCCGCCACCAGAGAAGAAGAGTCCCCCGAGAATAGCAGGGAGTTAACGCTGATGGCACAGTACTTGGAGGATCTTGCCAATGATGCGAGGCGACTGCATCGCAAACTGCAGGCGAGTGATGGCGGTCCAGTGGCGACAACAAATTGGTCCGCAGAAGATGTAAGCACCCTGCGTTTATTGGGGTTTGATGTGAGCCGCATCAATGTGGCTGCAGCGGAAGAGCAGCGTCCTCAAGTACCCAACCTGGACAAGTTGCTTGCCATGGAAAGGGAAATACAGAAGCTCCAGACAAGGGTAGATGATTTGACAGCAGCGAATGCAGCATTACGTGAAAAAGTAACTGAGCAAAACTGCACGGGACTCCAGCTTCAAGTGGAAGAGAACGACATGTCCGATGAATTAGAAGCTCTTACAGAGGGTCTTAAATCTCTGAAGGCTGCCTACTTGAGTAAGCATGAGGATTGTTTTGCTGCACAGGAGATGCAGAAAAGATCTACCTTGGCTTTTAATGACATTTATCTTGGAGGCCGTAAATCACACAAGACGGCGGTGGAGTTTCAGCAGTATCCATCCAGCGGTCTTGCAGAAGCCATTCGCATTTTCCGCGGTGTGGTTGCCTGTCACCGTGTGCGTTACCACGTTACGGGGGATTCGTCTGGCAAGGTTGATGCGATTGATATGGCTGTTGTTCGGCTGCTCAATGATCTTGAATTTCCGTTTCCCGTGACAATCCGACGGCTGGGCGCCAGTGGAGACTATTTTATTGACCGCCGCGTTGAGATCAAACTTGTCGGGGAACAGTTAGTTGTAAGGCCATGGCCGGCTACAGGCGTCCATCAAGGGTTGTCTGCCGACAGGAAATGCCCACCACGCTATGAACACCTGGCAAAGTATCTTATTCACCTCTACTCTCCAGCCCTGGATTTGGACAGGGCCGCAAAAGGCGGAAGAAGAGACGGGGCAGGGGTAAATTCTGCTGAGGGACGCCCGAACAACGACATCGCCGCTCTCAAACGCCAGCAACGGGAGCTTCAACGTGCCCTGGAGGATCGTCATGAGCAGTTGCATGAATATCAGAAGCAACTTGTGGCGGGTCTTTCACCACTAGCGAATGAGTGCACGTTGAGGGACGATGCAACAGGCCCTTCTGTTGAGCTGCGAGTTGAAGAACGAAATCGAAAAGTTGATGAGAGCATCTCCGAGTCGGAATCTTATCCGTCTGCGGGGACGAACGACCGGGTTGCTCATATACTTCGTTTAATGGAGACGAATGGACGGATTCCTGATCCTTCGCGTCTTTCCGAATCAGGCCTGCAACATCTTAAATATGTGGCGTTGCAGCGGAAGACGCATGCGTTGCAGCGGAAGACGCATGCGTTGCAGTAGGCCACGGGTGTCATCTCCTCTTCTCTGTCTTTTTTTTTTTTTTTGCGGACTGGACCATTGTGAGAGTTTTGCGTGTGTGTTGTTTTTGTAGCTGCATAATCATTTGGGAATTGTTGAGGCTTTTCTCTCTCTTTCTTTATCACCTCCGATGGCAGTCTCTTTATTTATATATTTATATATTCTTGCATCAAGTTTTTCATACAGATTCATTTGTTGCATGAATGTACCTTTTTTTTTTTTTTTTTTGTCTTCTTGTTGTTGGTTTATATACTCTTTATTTATTTATTATGTTTTATTCTTTACAACAGTCAAGGGATTAGATAGTTTATTTCATGTCTCTTCCAAACGCCATTGTGACATGGCAGTGCCCAAGCCAGCCATTTTCCGTGGTGGAGGTTCTTCAAAGTTGCCCGAATCTTCTTGATTACCTTTGCGAGACATCTTGCACAGAAGCGATGCGGCGACCGCCAAGTCCACACCGGAAGCTGTTTATTCTTTTTCCGGGCAATCCGGGCTTAGTGCATTTCTACGAACGTTTTGTGGAACTCATGACTTTACGACGTTTAGACGTTCTTGTGATGGGCTTTGCCGGTCACAGTTTTGTCGACCAAAATAACGGTAGGGTATTTGATTTACAGGATCAGGTAGAAACGGCGGAGCATTTTTTGCGAGCCGTTCTTACTCCCTATACGCTGAAATGGTATGGAAAACACATTTACATTGGTGGCCACAGTATTGGAGCCTTTGTTGCAATGCAGATGTTAACGCGTTTTCCATGCATAAAACGTTGTTTTTCCCTTTGTGGTTTACTTTCAAATGCGCAGAATTCACCGAATGGAAAACGGCTTTTTTTTCTCTGTAGTCATGCGGTGATATACAGTTTATTTACGTACTGTGTGATGTTGCTATTACTTATGCCTAAGGCGGTGGTTTCAATGTTTTTGCGTTGGTACGCGCCTTCCGTAAGTCCGCCTCTTCGGAGACTAATGACGCGACACTTGAACCCAAATATTCTCTGGAATTGTTTTTTTATGGCCCGGCAGGAGTTACGTCAGGTACGTGAAATTGACAGACCACTTATGAAGGCCGTGGAGGATCGCATGGTGTTCTTCTACGTCACAAGCGACAGGTGGGCACCGCCGCATCATGCGCAGGAGGTGAAGGTTGCCTGTGAGGGTCACGCCGGCTTTGTGATGGAGACGGATCCCAATGTCCCTCACTCGTGGTGTCTTGACCACAACGAACTTGTAGTTGAGCGAGGAGTGATGCCTTTTCTGTGAGGGTGAGTGACACATGCGTGCAGTGAGAAGAGGCGTGAGGATTTATTCCATTTATTTCGTTTTATTTATTCCTGGGGTGGGGAGCAGGAACCCACCACTTCCCTTTTCTTCCTGAGAGGAAGCAAAGGTCATAGTGTGGCGCCGTCGTTACATGTGCGTTATGTCTACGTGTGCGCATCCTACAATGAGAAGTAGAGGAAAAGAAAAAAAAGTGACGCTGATTACACGGCAGTCCGTTTATATATATATGTATATATATTAATTTATCGTTCAAAAAAGATGGATAAAAATAAGAGAGGATACGTTGAACTCTAAACGACGAAGAGGAGGAAACGACAAGCAAAAGAAATTTTTTGAGTATTATTTTTTTCATTTATTCTGTCATTGACGCATTTGGGTTTCTTTTTTTTTTTTGTTTGTTTGTGAATTATCCAGATACATACATAATATATACGTATATACAACATATATGTAGCATATACATGTATATGTGTGTGCGTGCATATCTTTTCTGTTTTTATATCTTATTTTGTGTATTTTTACTGTTTCTGCAGTTGGCGGCCAGGTGGATTACTTCTTCCCAATGAATCAAGATAACGCCAACTTTTTGCACGTAGTTGGGGAACCAAGCTTTGAGGCACTTGCCCGCTACATTGAGCGGAACAACGTGACGAAGATTCTTGTCATGGCTGGAGCTGGCATAAGCGTCGCGGCGGGAATTCCTGACTTCCGCAGCCCTCACACGGGCATATACGCAAGACTGGGGAAGTACAATCTAAACTCACCGACCGATGCTTTTTCACTTACGCTCTTGCGAGAGCGCCCAGATGTCTTTTACAGTATTGTGCGTGAGATGGACCTTTGGCCCGGTCATTTCTGGCCGACACTTGTGCATCATTTTATAAAACTATTAGCCGATGAGGGACGACTGTTGCGTTGCTGTACACAGAACATCGATGGATTGGAACGGGCTTCGGGTCTTCCAATGTCGTTTCTTGTGGAGGCGCACGGGTCTTTTTCAACCGCCTCGTGCATTGAGTGTCGTTCCCCATACGACATTGAATTAGCGAGCCGTGAGTCCAGGGAGGGGAAGGTGCCGCATTGTGATAGGTGTGGGGGTGTTGTGAAACCGGACGTTGTATTTTTTGGAGAAAGTCTCCCAGATGCATTTTTTAATGTTTTTGCGGAAATAACAGAGGTGGAGCTGCTTCTTATCATGGGAACGTCACTTCAAGTCCATCCTTTTGCGGAGCTTGCGGTTAGGGTACGGCCAGATGTACCGCGAGTACTGTTTAATTTGGAGCGTGTCGGAGGTGCCATGTTTCGCTTCCCCACGGATGTGCCGACTCTAAATTCATTCAGCAGAAACCATAGCGGCAACAGTCACAGCAGCAGCAGTAGTAGTAGCAGCAGTAGTAGTAGCGACGGTTACGGTCAGTTCGCAAATCATACTGCCGACGCAGGGGGGATTAGTCGCGATATATTTTTTCCAGGCGACTGCCAGCTCTCAGTGCGGCGTCTGGCGGAGGCGATGGGGCTTGGCGAGCGGTTGGCGTTGGCCGTGCGTGAGGGTGAGAAGAAGCGAGAGAGTTATGGTGCTTGTGAGAGCGGCAACACGCATCACACACACATGTACACACAGACAGACCGAAAATAAGAGGAAAAGCGGCTGAAATAAAGATTTGAAAAGAATTAATCCTTCAACCATTTAATGATTTTACGAATAACGATGCATAATGAAAAAGAAAGGGATAAAAAGGGTGAAGTTGAGTTGAATGGGCAGAACTCAAGGTTGTGATTATTATTCATATTGTTAATACCGATCTTTCCCCCCCCCCCCCCCCCCCCTGTTGCTACTGTTGTCATGAATGATGTGAATTTTATTTCATTTCTTTTTTTTTTTTTTTTCCTTTATGTAATAATATTTTCTGCCTATAAAGGAAAAAAAATTGATTGCTGCTTGACTCGGGTTTGCTTCGATATCTCGTATGCTCTTGGGGGTCTCACAACGGGATCTGGCGCAGGAATATACCGTGTGAAACAAGATCACTTGCAACCACAGCCAAGGGAGGCAAATAAGGAAACAAGAAAAAAAAAAAAAAAGAAAGGGGGTACCGGTGGAAAGTGAGGGGAGAGGCAAGATAAATATGAAGAGCATCAGGGTGCCCATGCGTTCGAGGCAGATTTCTCATCGGAAAAACATAATACGTTTTCTTTTTTTCTTTACGGCGTTGTTTGTTTACTTTTGGACATCCCGGAACGATAGGAGCGGCAGTGCGTTGCCTCATGACAGGGAGACTGATGTGGAGACCATCGACGTCGTGGGGGACACTTTGTTTCACAAGAGTGCCGTGTATGAGGAGGATAGTGCGTATTGGGGCTTTACAGGCGGCATCGATAGTCTCCTCGAGGGCGTCGTTTTGCAGAAACACTGGGGGCCTGTTATGATGCTAAGTCACGAGGGGTCACTGGACGAGTGGAAAGTCACGAATATAAGCTGTGCACGACTCACATCTTTAGGAGTCAAACCACATGATATGAAAAATCGCTACATGAGACACAGGGCAGTGAAGGATTTCACAGGGTGTGATATGCTCTCAGTGCCTTTTAACCCCCGTCAAGACCAACGCTGCATTAATTTCCTCACAAACACTTCCAACTGGAAGGAATTGGTGCCAATTGCACAGACCAAGGATCAGCGAACCATCAAATTTAGTATTGTTTTTAATCCCATTTGCGTTGCAGATGGGGGTTTTATCGAACAACCATTGGAAACAATCATTAAAGTACCACAACGACCCTTTCCTTTAGAAGCAGTGGGAGAGGTGGCGACATTTCATGCAGATCGTCTTTTGCTGACGTATCGTGTACCGCCCACTGGCTGGGCATGTTTGCCAATTTCAATGATAGAGGACTCCGTGGCAAAATATAAAGATGTTGTGGAGACCAATGAGGAATTCTTTCGGACGTCAGGAGTAAATAACTATAAGGAGTGGGTGAAGAAGGATCTATTTGATTATGTCCGTGAGAAACGTTACCTGGAACGTTCTGTAAATGGTGATGAATGTATTGGTGTATCTATTCAACTTAAAATTGCTGACGTGGGACATTTTTTGAGTAGCGTGATGCGCATTCCGTATGAGCCTCATAATGACTCGTGGCATGCCTTCTTTGACCTAAACAACATTGCTGGAGAACGCGTGATTGATTTTGTTCGCAAGCGGAACTACGCTGGCGTTCTTCACTTGGCTACTCTAAGTATGTTTGACTACTTTGTCGGGAACATGGACCGTTCCCCAAACAAGAATAACTTTGTGGTGGGCGGGACACATATCGGTTCAAATGAAAACGATATTTTTATGCTTCACCCGAATCATCCTACTTTTGTGTACCTTGACCATGGCATGACATTTTACTACCGGCGCCCACGTAGAAATCCGCTTACTAAATCCTATGGGGCATTCAAGAGGAATAAACCGGGCACGTTTTGTCTCTTTCATGGCCCATTGCTGCGACGGATTCGCGAATTGGTACAGTTTACTGGCGGCCCAATGAATGAAACGGTCTTTGCGTGGAGGATGCAACGACGTCTGCCAAGTCACGTCTACAGCACCATTGGACCTGAAGGTCTGCTTTGGTCTTCAACACGCGGTAAAGAAATATTGGCCATGGCCGATCGTTGCTTGGAGAATGAGCATATACGACCCTACGTACTTTTTCCGTGATGGGGCACACTACAAAAGCAAACGTTTCTTTGGATATGAAAGGCGTATTTTTTAAATTTTTTTTGCGTGAGGAGTTGCTTTTTTTTTTTTTTCTTGCGGTGCTGTCACTGGAGAAGTACCGACTATTATTTATTTATTTTGCTTTTGGTATTTTGTGGTGGTGATTGTTCGGATTTGTCGTTTGTTTTCCTGCTGGATTTTTTCCCTCTTTTTTTTTTTTTTTTTTTTTTTTTGACGGGTGGTGAGTCTTCTTTAGATGCGTCTTTTACGAAAAGGGGTTCGCCTCGATGGTGGGGTGGAAGTGAAAGTAACGGTCGGCACAAGTGAGGACTTGTGGCACCTGTACAACTTTGTGCTTTGCGGTGATCGTGTTCGCGCAAGAACGCGACGTAAAGTGGCGAAGGAGACGTCAATAGGCACAAAGGCGGCAGAGGTGCGCTTTATTACGCTGGAAGTTGAGGTGCAGCAGGTGGAGTTCTCCCCTGAGGAGCTCCGTATACATGGCATTAACATCTCAGAGAATGAGCATGTGAAGCTGGGCGCACACCACACGTTGTCGGTTATTACGTTTCCACCACAAGACATCACTATCATCAAGAAGGAATGGGATGATATTGCGGAAGAACGCCTGAAGGAGGCTTGTGATAATGAGGCCAAGGCAGATACTGCTGCCGTGATTATGGATAATGGAACGGCGAATTTGCTGCTGGTTACACCCTCGTTTATGCACCCCAAGGCGAGGGTGGAGGTGAACATAGCAAAAAAACACAAAAATGATGGTACGGCGAGAGACAAGAGCATTCAGCGTTTTTTTAAGCAAGTGTTAGACGCGGTTTGCACGCATGTCGACTTTGAAAAGGTAAAAATACTTCTTATATGTTCGCCCGGTCATATTCGGGAGGAGTTTTTTAAGTACATGGAGTCTACGACTGTAAATGCGGAGACGGGACCCCTACGAGTCATGTATAAGAATTTGTCCAAGGTGGTGCTTCTCAAGATTACAGATTGTACAAATGATGCGCTTCGAAAGGCCTTTGCTGACCCCGCCATCGCCAATGAAATGAGCTCTACACGTGCCAGAGAAGACATCAACGTTTGGCAAAGCTTTCACAGCACAATAAGCAGCGATCCGGATCGTTGTGTATACACCCCACAAATTGTTTACCAGGCGGCAATGTTGGGAGCTATAGGAAGACTGATGGTAAGTGACAACGTATTTCGTTCCAGCAGTCCCGTTGAACGACGGTTTTATTTATCACTTGTTCAATTTGTCAAGAAAGGTGGAGGGAAAGTTAGTGTCTTTTCCAGTAATCACATTACTGGAGAGCAACTGATACAGCTGGGTTCTGTGGCTGCCATTCTTCTTTTTCCATGCCCAGAGTTGGACGACGTAGCAGTGGTAAAGGATTTTATTTATGGTGAAGAGGCCACCGCATTCATACGAGAAAATGCTCCTACACGTGTGACCTTTTGAACAGGTTTATGGTTTGGTGGGAGTGCACACAAGATATGTTTACATGCTTATTGTTGTGCCTTTTCGTTGTTTTTCTTGTTTCTAACTTTTTGTTTTTATTTTTATTTATAGTGTGGCATTCTTGCCCAATTTTTCTTTTTATTTTTTTCCCTTTGTGTATGTGCGTTTTACTTTTCACTTTTTTCCCCCAATTGTAGAGTGACGGATGCTCCGGCCGTCGTTAGGTTGTCTCCTGGGAGCAATTTCAGCGGCTCGACTGTTTGTGCAGCGGCGGGCGTTATCTTCTTCATTTCGTGTGATGCGTGGCCTTGGCAGTCCCAATGGATGCCATCAAGTGGAACGCACTGTTGGGGGCGCCAATTGTCCCACGTGGACGTCCAAGCGCTTTCTTTTAGTTGAGACGAGTGAGACGCCGAATCCCGATTGTCTGCGTTTCTACTCGATGGAGTTGTCATTTCTGAAACCCGGTTTCTCAATGGACTTTCCGAATGCTGGGCACGCTTACAAGTCACCCCTGGCGGAGATATTGTTTAGCATCGATGGAGTAGAAGCTGTGTACATTGCTGATGAGTACATCACGGTAAGAAAAGGTCATCTTGTGGATTGGGACGCCATTCTGCCGATGATAAAAGAGAGTATAGAGGAGTTTGCGGAGAGAAAAATGAACGTTCTTTCTGAAGAAGGAGAAGACCTTCTTTCGGGCCACAATGAAGACACCGAACCCAAAGATGATGATGACGAGGTGATTCTAGCTGTCAAGGAATTGCTTGCCACACGCATACGGCCCATGCTGCAGGCTGACGGCGGGAACGTGCGCTATTTGGACATGGACGACGGCACGGTATTTGTGTTGCTGGAAGGTGCGTGTAAATCGTGCCCGTCGGCTAGCGTGACGCTTAAAAATGGCATTGAGCGCATGCTTATGCACTGGATACCGGAGGTGGTGGAGGTTCAGGAGTGCACGGAGGAGATGGCGGATGATATTTTGGCAGAGAAGGCTCTACGGAAAAAGATGAAAGACGATGGCGTCACAATTTCTGCCAAGTGAAGTGCAATTGATGGAGATGACCGGTGAATGTGGGAAGAGAGTACGTTAAGATTTGTGACCAAAAAAAGAAAAAAGAGGGAGTGGGGGAGAGGGAGAGGAGGTGCAGCTTTTAGATGGTGCATCGCGATTTCTGCTGGGGACACACCGTGCTTCCTGTTCACGAGAAGAGGAAGAGGAATGAAGAGAAGAGAAAAAGCATCAGGTGCCAATGGTTGCAGGTTGGCGATCCATTTTTGCTCATATTCTTTTTTTTTTTTTTTTTTTTGCAACCTTTTGTTCTTTTCTTTTTCTTTTTTTTTTTTTGCACGCCGTTCCTTTACCATTTTTATCGTTGTTCCTATTTTTTTTATTTTCTCTTCTTCTTCTCCTCAGTGTGAAGATATTCTTCTCCTTATGAGGCCGATAAAAGATGCGTTCTTCCACCGTCTTGTGGTACCATGCCGCGATCTGAACTTCAGTTGTTTGATGGTCGCTCTCTCCGCGGGAATTATTGGAGGCGTCTTTCCTGTTCCACTGCTGACGAGCATTGTGACTCTAATCATCTGCCGTGTGTTGCGATGCCGCGCATTGGAGGCGACATTGGCGACTACTGTCAATCTCCTTCTTGCTCCCCTTGAATTGTTCCTTGTGGTGCCGTTTGCTTGTATGGCGGCTTTTGTTTTGGGAGGTGACACAAGCCAATTCACCACGGCTGCAATCTACCACTCTGCGAAGCTGGGATTTTTTGATTTTTTGCAAACGTCTTTTTCGCTTCTCATGTACAGTTGCCTTTGTTGGATGGCGCTTGCCGTCCCCCTCCTGTACTTCATCCGCGGTCTACAAAATCGTGGGAATGTTGCCAATTACGAGTAATGATTGTGCCAGGTTCTATTTTTTTTTTTTTTTGTCTTTGAAAAAAAAAAAAAAAAAAAAAAGAAAAAAAAAAAAGAAAAAGAACACAACAAGAGAATACCGGAAGTTGTCCTATTTATTCATCTTTGTAATGCTTTTTTTTTTGTTGTTGTTTGTTTGTTTTATTCTGTCCCCGCTTTTCTTCTGGTGATTTCCGTACTTGCATACACCAGCACAGCGACGCCGATACGCAAAGAAGGTAGATAATATGCCCGCGAAGAGTGTTCCTGCCCCTGAGTCGGCCATCAAGCGTGCTGCTTTCAAGCGGCAGCAGACGGAGAACTTCAAGAAGGCGATTGCCGCCAACAAGGCTGCAAGAGTCGCGATGAAGAAGACTGCATACGCGCGGGGTCTCCGTTACTCCCGTGAGTACCGTTCTGCCGAAAAGAAGTTGGTGCATCTTCGTCGCCAGGCAAAGAGCTGCGGCAACTACTACCTCGAGTCGAAGCCGAAGGTTGCTGTTGTCACCCGCATTCGCGGTATTGCGAAGGTCGCCCCGAAGCAGCGCAAGATTCTGCAGCTTCTGCGCCTGCGCCAGATCTTCAACACCGTTTTTGTGCGCCTGAACAAGCCGATGGAAAACATGCTCCGCGCCGTTGAGCCCTACATTGCCTACGGCTACCCTTCCCTGCGCACAGTCCGAATGATGGTGTACAAGCGTGGCCACCTGAAGATTAACGGCCAGCGTGTGAAGATTGTGAACAATCAGATGATCCAGAGCAAGTACAACAACGAGAACATTGTTTGCGCTGAGGACATTGTGAACCAGATCTACACCGGTGGCAAGCACTTCCGCGAGGTGACGAACGGCCTGTGGCCCTTTAAGCTCTCACCGCCGGCCGGTGGCATGCGCCAAAAACGTCGTCACTTTGTTGAGGGCGGCGACTACGGCAACCGCGACGCCCTCATCAACCGTTTCCTCGCCCGCATGATTTAAATTGACACGGCGCTTGTGCAAAGTTTGTTTCATTTTGTATTGCTTTAACCGTACAAGATGTATCTTTTATTGTGTTTTCTGCTGCTTTGGATTCCTTCCTCTTCGGGGAGTGAGTCTATCGGACAATTGATCACGTTACGGTTTTTTTTTTATTATTTGTTTTTGATTTGCTCTTTCTACGCAAAGAAGGTAGATAATATGCCCGCGAAGAGTGTTCCTGCCCCTGAGTCGGCCATCAAGCGTGCTGCTTTCAAGCGGCAGCAGACGGAGAACTTCAAGAAGGCGATTGCCGCCAACAAGGCTGCAAGAGTCGCGCTGAAGAAGACTGCATACGCGCGGGGTCTCCGTTACTCCCGTGAGTACCGTTCTGCCGAAAAGAAGTTGGTGCATCTTCGTCGCCAGGCAAAGAGCTGCGGCAACTACTACCTCGAGTCGAAGCCGAAGGTTGCTGTTGTCACCCGCATTCGCGGTATTGCGAAGGTCGCCCCGAAGCAGCGCAAGATTCTGCAGCTTCTGCGCCTGCGCCAGATCTTCAACACCGTTTTTGTGCGCCTGAACAAGCCGATGGAAAACATGCTCCGCGCCGTTGAGCCCTACATTGCCTACGGCTACCCTTCCCTGCGCACAGTCCGAATGATGGTGTACAAGCGTGGCCACCTGAAGATTAACGGCCAGCGTGTGAAGATTGTGAACAATCAGATGATCCAGAGCAAGTACAACAACGAGAACATTGTTTGCGCTGAGGACATTGTGAACCAGATCTACATCGGTGGCAAGCACTTCCGCGAGGTGACGAACGGCCTGTGGCCCTTTAAGCTCTCACCGCCGGCCGGTGGCATGCGCCAAAAACGTCGTCACTTTGTTGAGGGCGGCGACTACGGCAACCGCGACGCCCTCATCAACCGTTTCCTTGCCCGCATGATTTAAATTGGGCATATCTGCCTTTTTTTAGAGGTTTATTTATTTATTTATCTTTATAATTTTTTTATTTTTATTTTACAACCGATGCTGCTTTTCCAGTGATTGCGGCAGTTGCTTGCCGAATTGCTGTTGATTGTACGTGTTGTTTCCTTTTTTAGCGTTATTTATTTATTTATTTGGATGTCTTTTTTTCTTTCCTTTTCTTCTTTTTTTGTCTTTTAGGCGTTTTTTGTTGTCATTTTTTCAGCCTGAAGTTTTAAGAAACAGTCGTTTTTTTTTTTTTTTTGGACCCGTTGCTTTTTTTTTGTTGCTACTTTTTAACTGTAGGAGCGGGTGGTTTCTTTTTTTTTTGCGGCGGAGGAGGAGGGAGGCGGCGTGGCGAAGGGCCCGGACGACGAAAAATCCCTGGAGGACGACATCCGTTTACGTGTGAGGAGGGCTGAGAGGCCGGAAGGAAAAATTATCCGTTTCTCCCGTTTCTTCAGCAGACGAATACAAAATGACGGTGGCGGATGAGAAGATACGTCGCTTGACTGAGATGACGCACCCGCCGTTGGGTCACAAATTGAGTGTCGGCACCATAAAAAATATACAATATTCGCCGCTGCGAACAGGAGGGAATGGTTCAATCACGCTCGTCATTGACTTGCAAGAAACACAGGTGCGCTCCTTCACGGCTAAGCCATGCGATTTGTTTTATGCCTGTCTGAGCATTGGCGAGTCCAGTTGAAGCCCAGACCTTTTTTTTTTTTTTTTTTTCGGTACCGTCTGTTTTTCTGTGAGTTAAATTTTTTTTATTTTTTTTTGACGTGTTCATTTTTACCGCGGTTTATCAGGCGTATTTTAAACATCTCATGGACGATTGATCCTGGAGGCAATTTAGGATGCCCTCGGCTTTTCCGAGAGCACTAAATAGAGTTCGCTGGGTTTTATTATTATCATTATCATTTTTGATTTGGGCCACCAACAGTCAATTTAGTATTTTTTTCTTCTTGTGTTTTTCCTTTTTTTGTGTGTGTATTTCAATGCGTGCATGGCTTATTTTATTATTTTTGGTACGTTTCCAAAGGCAGTCTCCCGCCTCTCACCCGAGCGGTGCGCTCAGGTGGAGCTGGGAAGGCATTTGGAGTGTTGCATCTTCCTCTCCTTACATTTTATCTCTCTGTGGGGTTTGTTGTGCGCCACTTTCTTTCTGTCTCCTCGTTCTCGTTACCAATAATGGCGGAAGAGTAATTTTTTATGCCTTCATGGAGATGAAGGAGGTCCAGCCGCAGAAACGCCTCCAACCCGCGTGCGACGCTACGGGTGAGAATGGTTTTCCACTGACAATTCCTTGTGAGCGACAGAAAGTAACAAATTTGGCACAGCATAGACCTTTACGCCGTTTTTTGGAGGCAATGCGAGCCGGCAATCAAAATCCATGCGCACTCAAAGGCTCCGCAGTTCATCATTTGAAAAAAGATTTGACAGGGGACGACAAACAGGCGGTCTCATCTTGCGAGACACCTTCACGCAGCAGTCGACTAAGAGAAAGGTATGAGTGTATGAAGAAGATGCGCTTTAATGAAACTCAGGAAGCCCTTGCTCGTGAGTGTGATCTCTCAAGAATTATCATTGAGCTTCAAAAGCGCATAGAGGACGCGGAGGCATCACGGGAATTTGAACGGGAAGTCCACGCGCGGGAGTCATTTTATCTCCTAAAAGAAAATGAATGTCTCAAGGAGCAGGTACGGACGACGGAGAAAATGCTTTTGGATGCCCGCAACAATTATAATTTGGAGATTTCCAAGTTAAATGCGAGAGTGTCTGACCTGGAGGACTCTCTGGTTGCCGAAGGACAACGCGCCAAGACGAGGGAGGCTGAACAGGAGCGGGCCATTCAAAACCTATGCAGTAACCTCTATACCACGCAGGGGGAGCTGGAACGTTATGTGGAGACAAACCGTGAGTTGGCTTCCGTAAAGTCGTTGCTGGAGGAAATGAGAGCGGAATCTTGGAGGGACAAGCGAGAATGCACTGTATGGTACGAGGTCCTTCGACGACGTGAGCTGTTTATGTTGCTTGAGCGAGAAGCATTTACGGAGCTGCAATGCCTATGCATGCAAGAGATGAATCGCTTTTGGCAAATAAAGGAAGATTCGCATCAAGCAATGTTTTGTAGCGAGGCGGAGCGGTTTTTGGGTCAAATACTAAGAGAAGCTGAAATTTGTGATGAGATGAAGCAACTGATGTTTGACAACGCCACTGCTTCAATAGAGAAAGAGAAGTGGATTTCACTTCACTTTTCCAAGGTGCAGGAGCTATCTCGACTAGGCGAGAAACACGAAGCACTTTCTACCCTACTGGCTCAGTATATGCGTGAGGTGGAGGAAATTCAGCAAAGCAATCTAGAGCAGGTGCTGCGTCAGAAGACGGTGGATGATGCGTCAATCGTCTACATGCTTCATCAACGTGACAATGAGGTCTCGGATAAGTTGCGTACATGGAAGGGGGCACTTCAAGAGGCGCATAAACTTTTGACTGCGTTACTGAAGCGGTATGAGCCTTTTCAGCGTGGTGATGAAGTTTTTGTTGGGAGGGTGATGGAATGGTTGATCTCCGCACCACATGTAAAAGAGGTGATCAATGTTTTTTTACCATAGTTTATTACGGTTCATTTTATATATGCAGGCACGTACTTACTTGCCGGGTTTTTTTTTTTTCATTGCGATGAGAGGTGAGAAAGTATTGTGTGTCTTTAATGTCAGCTAGCTTTTTTTTTTTTTTTTTTTGAAGTTGTTTTACTTTGAATAAAATGCAACTATTTTAAATATGTTGCTAATTGTGTCCTTGCAGTTTTCATGAAGAACATGCAAACCTTATGGGATATCTATTTTTTTTTTTTTTTTTTAATATATTATTTTTAGATATCGACGTCTGGTTGTGTGCGCATTTTAGAGCCAAGAAAGGAGTGATGGAGTTTTTATGCTGTCAGGCGGAAATTGGCAAATTGATTCGGGAGAAAACGGAAGAATTAAATGATATCGGGGCGGCATTGGCGTTTGTTCATCACCACGTTCTTAGTATGATGCATAAATCCGAGACTGGACTATCAATGCCTGATGTGTTCCCTTCATGTGCTCTACAAAGTGCCTCTGGCAAATTGTGTCGTTGTAGGGGCATGATTCAGGAGGTGGAGCCAAACATCTCTTTTTATCGTGCGTCGCGTTCAGACTTTTTTGGTGCTGCTGAAGAAGAAAATATGGCGTTGCTAGAAGCCACCCTTCTGTACGTGATTCCCGTGCCTGGTAATTCCCACTTCTACCGTGTGCCACAAGAGACGATGAGTGAGGAACGGGCTGCCATGCATAACGTGCCAGCTGTTGGACAGGTTTTTGGTGATCGCAAACGTCGGGAGCGGTCGGATGGTCCGTTGCAAAGTTCTGCTTTGGAACGTGAAATGAAACAGTTTCGTCAGGAGGTGGTCTTCCAATCAGATGGGGCCTCTCAACCGATGCGGCAGTTGTCACTCTATCAGAAACTTAATCTTCCGCACCCACCCCTTAGCGGATTCCTTCATACAGCGTGTGTTGTGACTGTTATTCAACACCCCGCCGTAGAGAGGGACCGGCTACGAATCAACGATGTGGTGGATTTTTTTGGGTTTCTTGACGAGGATTCAGCAATGACGGGCGATCGGATGGCGGCGTGCCCATTGGACGAGTTTGGGGCTTTTGCCTCTTGGCATGCAGAGCAAATTCCACCATCATTATTGTCACGAATGACTTGCATCTCATGGAAGAAAGTTTTTTCCACTCCAATTTGCCCAGTACCAACAAACTACTTTGAAACCAAGCGTCCACTGGTTTTGCTTTATCTGGCGAACACAATTTGCCAAGGAGATGCATTACTTGCTGAATACATCCTTTTGCACCTCAGCGCCCGTGTTATTACGCACGAGAGCGCCACACCTGTTGGTGATATTCCTCTGCGTGTAGAAGCGCAGGCCATTGACCCCGAGATGTGGTCATCCTTTATGCGAAGTATTTCACCAGTAGGTGAAGTGCTGCTTGACGCATCGTTGTTGTCAAGTGTAGATCTCCGCATTGTGCCCCGACAAGATCACATGGCGAATGTGCTTCGCACCGGTGTTCTACAGTTAGCCAATGGGACGCACGTCACCTTAGATTGCCAAGCCGTTTCCAAGGCAAGCAATGCGTTGCATGAGGCTCTTTTTGCCGTGATGCATAAACAGGTTCTCCCACTTGAATATCCCTATCAGCTACATGAACTGCCAATCGACCTTAGCTTTCTTGCTCTTTCCACCGCGAGGATTTCAGAGGAAATGGAACTTCTTCGACTTGCTGTATCAGTGCGATGGCAGCCGGAGCTTCCGATGGCTGCAATGGACCTCACAAATCTTTCTGCTGAGGATGTGCAGGATTATTTTTCGCATGTGCGATGCGTCTGTCGAAGGTTTGTCAGTGAGGACAACTCCCAAGCGCATCGATTGGCTGAAAAGTTGGTTTGCTTTTCGCATTCAGAACCCTCATGGAATAATCACGATCCCTTTATTCATAACAACTCCTTTTCTATGGCCGCCGCACTGATGCGGGCTTGCGCAGCGAGTTTCGGTCGCGAAACGATTTCCGATGGCGATATCGATCACATTCTTCTTCTTGAAAGGGACCGGGTGGCACGTCGCTGTTAAGAAGAACCAAGTAAAAAATACAAAAAAAAGAGCGGTTTTTTTTTTTTTTTTTGTGTGTGTGTGGGGGGGAGGACACGGCTGTGCCTTTCATTGTTGTTCACTTTCTCCCTCTCCTGCGGTATGTGCTTGTTTTTTTATTATTATTTTATTTTGTTTCTTTTCTTTAGAAGAAGCAACTTACATTGAATCAATTTTATTTTTGTCTGATTATGTCACTTGAGGAGGTTGAGCCTAATTTTTTTACCCTTTCGCCGGATTCACCCTTGCGGGAGACGATACAAAGGGCGTACCGTTGGTACTCCCCCAGGTTTTCACCATGCGATGTTCCACGTTTTGCCGATGTGGGGAGCATTACGGAAGAGTGGAGTGTGATGCGTGGAATACGCGATTTTCTTGTGGCTCGTTACAGGAATCTTCCCGAACCCCCGACTCACATAATGGGTTTTGATGCACGTGGATTTCTTCTTGGACCCATGATATCCGTGGAACTTGGAGTACCGTTTGTGCTCATGCGGAAGGCGGGGAAGAATCCCGGCATCCTCATTGAAAGTGAACCATATGAGAAGGAATACAAGGAGAAAAAGGCTGAGGCCATGACCATACGTTGCGGTAGCATTGGTAAGGGTTCACGTGTTGTCCTTGTAGATGATGTTTTGGCTACTGGAGGAACGGCTTTGTCAGGTTTGCAGCTTGTTGAAGCGAGCGGTGCCACCACTATTGAATTTGTTGCTATTCTTGGAATAAAATCCTTGAAGGGAGCCCAGCTTTCACACTCATATGGCAATGGTCGCTTCAGCAAGATTCCGTTCTTCGCACTTGTAGACGAAAGTGTACTAACGGAGGCGAATTGTGGCGATACGGCCGGATACAATGGCCCTCGGATCATCGGCTATCGCGAGGCATTGAGCAGGATTTAGCTGGCTTGCGCGCAAAAGCGAGGACGGGTGACTCTTCTTTTTTGACTTTTTTGTTAGCGCAACGAACGAAAGCTAAAAGAAGTATAGTGGATACCAAAAACAAACAAGCAAGCAAATACAACAACAACAACAAAAAACAATGTGTTGATAATTAATGGCGTATTGGAGCAAAAAAATTTTGCTTTTTCCAATGTATTTGCGTGCGCCTCCAGTGTGTGTGTCTTTTTTCCCCCCTTATTCACAGGAGGTTTGGCGTGAGGAGACGAGAGGTGATGGGGGAGCGATAAGAACACACATAAATCAAAGCAAAATAATAATAATAATAGGTGAATTTTTTTTTCATTATATGCATTTTATGGGATTTGGAGAAATAATTTGGCGACAATTTTTGAGTTGATCATTAAAGGGAGGGTCAATGTCTCTTGCACAATTTCCTTTTTTCCGTTGATCCCCACAGTGTGCCTGTGTGCTGTGGTTAATTTCCTTTCTCCGCATACATGTTTGTGCACAAATGTATTTATATATGTCTGAGGAAATAACGAGGGGTGAACGTGCTTTTTTCAATATCGTATTTTAATCTGTAATCTTTTTCACTTTTATTTTAAAAGTAGTTTCTATTCTCTTTTTTTTTTTTCTTTGTATTTATTTATTTTGTAGCTGAGATGGCGATCGCTGAATGCTCGCCCAATCATCTTGTACTTAAAGAGTCGCATCCGTTGTCAAAGGACCTCTACGCGAACGTATTTGGCGAAACGTCGTCGTTTCCCGGCGACAATGCGACTCGGTTATTTGATGTCAGCAGCATTACTGAGAATCCGCCCCTGTTTAGGAAGGTGATTCATTTTTTGGCTCAGCGGTACCGCGATATGGGCGATGCCGGCCCGACGCATGTCCTCTGCGTGGAGTCTCGTGGGTATCTTGTGGGTTCGCCACTGGCTTTAGAGCTTGGCGTTCCTCTTGTTCTTGCTAGCGCTACGAAAAGATTCCCGTCTACTTTTCTTCCGGAGGGTCAGGGCCCTATGGTCCTGCCCAAATCCTACTCTGTTCGTAACGGAAGCATTTCGAGTGACTCCCGCGTGCTCATTGTGGATGACTTCATTGCCACCGGACGATCCCTCGTCTCCGTTCTACGCCTCATGGCGATTGTTGGTGCCAAGGTGATTGAGGCGGTGGCTCTGTGTAATGTGCCGTCCCTTGACGGGATTGGGGCCATCCACAAGTCCGACGGCTGCCGCTTCGGGCAGACCCCCATATTCACGCTGATGCAACTCAAGGCAAGTCAGGAGACGGTAAAGGAACAAATCGCCTATATTACCCTTGTAGGAATGTCTCATATGTGAGCAACGAGCGAGTGGAAAGAAGCCGCGATTGGAGCAATGAAACGCGGTTATCTTGTCCTGCTCTTCTTTTGATTCCTTGCGGAGCCTACCCAGGCCAGCGAAGTGAGAAGGAAGAAGAAAAATAGTAATAAATAATAACAAGGCAAGAACCCAAAAAAAGAAAAAAAAAAGCAATGAAAAGTGGTCAAAAGTAGCGGCGAGAGTAAGTGAAAATGAAATAAAGGCGAAAATGTTGTTTTATCTTTTATTTTATTTTATTTTTGTCCGTGCGTGCGTGCGTTTTTTTTTTTTTTACTGATGGTTTACTTGTTTAGGTGCACCCCACTTCATTTATTTTATTATCACTGTTTTATTTCTTCTTTTCAGGGTTGTTTTGCGCGTGAAGCCGTGGGGCATGGGTTTCCAGAGGAAAAAAAAATAAAGCGTTTCTTTTGTGTTTTTAATCTAATAGTTTTTTTTTTTTTTTTTTTTGTATGCGCGCTTGTATTTTCTTTTTTTCTAGTGAAAATATTTTAGTGAACCCTTTTTTTCTCTACTTTATATGTGTGTATATTTTGTGGTCCCTTATTATTATTATTTTGCTTTTGTTTTGGTGTTCGTCATGTCATGAGAATTTTCTTTTCATTGCCTTCTTTTTGTTGTTGTTCGTGCGTGGCTTTTAGCCGAGAGTTGGCCTTTAAGCCCATCATTTATTTCTGATGTCGCATTTTTTGGGGAAGGGCAATGCCGCGACGTTTTTTGCGATGGTCCTGACCTCAGGCCAGGCGCTGTTCTTCTTGTACCACAAGGATAGTTATGCGGACAATCCGGTCATGTTGCGCAGCAGCAAACCGATGGTGATGCGTGACGTGTTTTTGACAAAATGCTCGAGTTTTTTCCCCAATCCGCTCTCATGCGTTTATGTTCATAAAGCCTCCGATGCTTTTTTGAATAGTTTGACGTCATGGCTTCTGGTAAGGCCAATTGTGGATGTTATTGGGTGGAAATCGGGCGTTGCACTTTACGCTGGATCAGGGCTATTTAGCAGCTTTGCCTATCTGTTCGGATGTCAGCTGCGTAGGACCAAGACGAATACACAGTTTGATTGCAATGCCACTTCTAATGGTGCATTTGCCGGATTTGCGGCTCTCAGTCTGATGATGCCAAAGTGTTACATACCTGCGAGCAGGCGTGCTCCTGTTTACTACGTTGGAATCCCATACATTGTGAAGTGTGCATATGATGAGTATATTGGGCCTACATTTTTTGAGAAGAGGGAACCAGGCAACATAGAACTGCGTAACTGGGGGTTTGTGGGTGGCGTATTTTTTGCATTTATTTTTTCTTCTTTGGTATTACGAACTCGCAGTGATTTTGGGAGAATGAATTTGTTTTGGACAAATCTGAAAAAAACTTCCTTGTAGGTTGTATTGACTTTGTAACTTTTTGACTGTTGATGGCGTAGGATGCATAGGCGGTATTGTTTTAGATGATATGCATGATTTAAAGATATCTTTTTTTTTTTTCTTCTGTGTGTGCGTTTATATATATATTGCCTTTCTTTCTTTTTTTCTTTTCTCCATGTGTATGTAAATAAATGGACATAAATATATTCATACATGTCTTAATGGAGATTTTTTTTTTTTCTTTTCTCAACAACTTTTTTGTTGATTTTTTGTTTATGGTCAAGTTTTTTAGTCTTTTTTTTTTATTTGGATTGCTGCTCAGTCTTATGTACTCTAATAATCCTTCGAACAACGAAATTTCCGTCATTCTTTTTATAAACAAAGAACGTTGTGAGGGGATTTCCTTTTCCGTTGAGAGGGATGCTCCTGCGGACATGCCCGTGGAGGGCGGTACCAACACGTCGGCTATTCGAAAGGCTGCACGGCGGTACAATGGGCTGTATGAGCTATTTTTTTCTATGGAACTTGAAGAGAATAAACTGAGTGCTTTTGCAAGGGGACGCATTGTTGGGCATGTCCTTCTACCATCTGGTGCGATACATTACCTTGGACCGCTAATGCCCCCCGGTGAACCTGTAGATTCGGCCATGTTTGTTGAAGACATACCCGACACCATACAGCTGCGTTTTACCCTTGATATGAAGGTTCCTGTGGGTGTCTCGGCAGTTTGGCCAGCGGAACTGCTCCTTGCCGACCACGTAATGGCTATTATTGACAATGATGACTTATCCGGCTCAGTTCCATCCTCACATGTGCAGAATCTTGTGCGTGAGCTACCGTTTTACAACCGCGGCATGAGACGCTTCAACAATTGGTCTAATTTTGTTCGTTTTTTTGCGATGTACTACCATTCATGGGAGCTGATCCAGTATTCGGAAGAGATGCATGAGCATCTTGGCTTCAGCAAACTAATGCTTGCCGGAGAAATGCGTATGGTGTCTAAAAAATTTCTGAATTCTTACATGCGGGCAGACAAAGAAAGGGACATAATTCGTTACGAAGCATTCTTGGAGTTCCAGCATTTGCTGCTTTCGTTCACAGGGCCGTTTGATGGCACTAGGCGCAGCCCAAGACTGAGCAATGACGCCTTTCGGTTGCTTGGGGAGTCACGGAGTTTTCGAACTTTGAACACCGTCAACTACGTACGTATCCTTCGGCTCGTTGCACTGGACCCTGAGCGCTATGTTCTTTTTGACGCCCATCATCCCATTCGAATCGATTGGAAACACTCCGAAGAGACCACTCCGGGGCTGGTGGAGATGTGCCCGGTATGAGGTAGGAAGTGAGACCACGATGTC